CCTTCCCGTCCCACGCTCTGGCGTGGGCTCCAGGCACGGGGAAGGGTCGGGGGGGGGGCTTTGGGTGTGGCTGGATCCAGGTACCGGAGAAGGGAACCCAGCTTTACTTTGGGATGTGTTGAAGGGGCTCCGGACCACTTCTAATGTTTCCAACATCCTCTCCCATTCATGTGCCGCACCCCCAAAAGCACGAGCCCCACCCGCCCTGGTCCGCCCCCTCCCCCCCAGTATGTGCTTTGGTGGGGGGGGGGCCGGGCTCCCCTGACCCCCCCCCTTTCTGGCCTTCCAGGCACCCTCACGATGGCTCTGCTGGAGCACCTCCTGGCGGGAAACGTCTACCTCGTCCAGGTCGCCGCCTCCAACGCCGCGGGCGAGGGCCCCTTCTCCAGTGCCGTGGAACTGGCCGTCTTGCCGAAGGAGGCCCCTGAGCCCAACCAGAGGCCCAAGCGGCTGGATTCTGCCGGTGCTGCCGAGACAGGTGGGCGCAGGGGGCTGGGCGGGGGGCCTCTACGAAACGAGACCCGTCTAATGTGGGGAGGGAGATCTGACTGCTGCTCCGGGGAAGCCCTCCAGTGATTCGGCGGGGCTCCTGAATATTGGTACTTCCTTGCTGGGGTTCGTTCACGTTTGGGCTCGCTTCCCTGCCGTGGTTAAGCAGAGACACCCAGGCTGCTGAGGCGACAGGGGCGCCCGCTCTAGGCAGGCAGGATTGTTGCTCCCGCCTTCTCCCCATTGGGGAGGTGCCTCTCTGGGCAGGTGTGGAGGACTCCTCTGTGGTTACGGCTGCGGTGGACACCAGCAGGCTGACCAGCGGCCTAACGTGAAGCCTTCCCAGGCACACCAGCCTGACTCCCCTCTCCTTCCCCTGGTAATCCCCAGGCACAGGAGTGACGGAGGCCCGCACCCTGCCAGGGCACCTCTCTGCAGCTGGCACCACTCGGGAGCGGGCCATTTGCGTGCCCTCCTCTCCTTTTTGCCAGTGAGCAGACGCTTCGCTGTATTGTTAACCCAACCAGAGTCTGGATTTTGAGCCACAAAACAAAAGGCGGTCTGGCCCAGTTTCTGGAGGGGGCGGGCATTGAGAACCTCAGAAGAGCGCTTCTGGATCAGGCCAGCGAGAGCCCCCCTTGCCCAGCATCCTGCTTTACCCAGAGGCCAGCCCTGATAGTCCTTTCCAGGCGGGGAGAAGCGGCCTGCAGGTGCCTGGTCAGAACACCAGGGGGCAGCGTTGTGCGACCTTTGCCCTGTCCGACCAGGACAGGCTCTGGGAGGCTTCTGGGCTCCCGATCCCTTGGGCCAGTCACCTGCTGTGGCCGCCAGGTCTCCTTGGAGGAAGGCCGGGACAAAGGCCAGCTCGACAGAGGGACGGGGTCCCCCAGAGGGTGCGAGGGACGCCCAGGCTGACTGGGCACGCCTCCCTCCCCACAGCTCCCTCTGGCTACGACCCGCTGGACCAGAAGTCCATGGCTGGCATCATCGCTGGCGTCTGCATCGCCCTCACCTGCATCCTGCTCTGCGTCCTCATCCTCATCTCTCGCAGCAAAGCCAGGTGAGCCCCGGGAGGGAAGGAGGCGGAGGCGGCGGCGGCTGCCAAAACCCACAGGCAGAACAGTCTGGGGAGCCCCTTTTGCTGGGAAGGGGGAGGGGGGGCTGGAGGCTCCCCGCAGATGGGGACAAATCAGAGAAGAGGGGATCCACCCCGGCCTCTCTGGGCAGCCAGTCCCAGCGGGTCAGAGAGAAAGGAGACCAGGCCACGATCCTGCCAGGAGGTTTTCCTTGGGAACCCGGGGGGGGGGGGGAGTGCTCCGTCCAGTGCTTGGCTCCACTTCCAGACACCCCCACGGTCCAGCAACGGGGGGGGTGTGTGTTCCTCATCGGGGAGCCGACTGTGAGGCTCGTGGGCATCGTGGGCTGGCTCACCCATCCAGCTGCTTGGTGTCCTGCAGGAAGACGTCTGCGGCCAAGAGCGTCCCACCGGGCTCCGACGCGTACTCTCGCAGCAGCCTCTCTTCGGGTGGAACCGGCGAGGGGGGCAAGAGCGTGGAGGGTGTCGTGGAGAACGAGGAGGTGCTGCTACCGATGCTGGTGGGGAACGGCTTCCTGGACGCCAAGGTGCCTTCGGGTTGGGGTCTCTCTGCTTGCCCACGCGGGGTGGCGTGTGTGGCTCCGATCTCCCCTGGGCCCCAGGCCTGTGTGCCCAGGGGCTCCTTTAGGTGGGGGGCCTCCCTGCCTGTCTTCACTGGTCTGTGCTGGGACACAACGCTGGCACTAATGTATTTCCTGCACGGAAAGCAAATCCGCA